CGCGGACCGCGAAGAGGACACCCATACACAGAACGTTACATGTACACCTGTGTTTCAAATTACACGGCAAAATGCATATTGATATTGAACTTAACATTATAATTGTGTATTTTTTACGTTTTTAGTTAAATTCCTTTTAATATTTAGTTTTTATAGGCAAAGTTAAGTTAATATATCTTATTGTTATCGACGATCGAGGCGCATGAATTGTATTATTTGTAAAATCAAGATCAAGATTGTCATATCTTTCAATGTTGAGTTTATTGAATTATATGATCTCATATGTTCAGAGAAATAAAAATTGAACAGCGTATCGCCGAAATTTGTGTATCATTGGTTTTAGAATCCAAATATTGATTTTCGTAACATAAAGCGTTCTTTAATCGACAGTTTTGTGAGCATGATACATTTGTAGACTTTTCACCAGTCGAAGACCTATATAAACATCTTTGGTTGATTTTTATCGCTGTTGTGATATTGTCTTGCTGTCATATTGTTGATTGATACACACGCACACACTTACATTTTTGAATCCGTCAACATGAAAATTGTGAATATAAATCAATTAAAGAAAGTATGAAATTAAAATACTAGTAAATTTGCAAAAATACATTTGGATGAAATTGAAAATGGAAATCTTAGTTCTTCGCCTCTCTGTCTTTTTCTCATATATATATATCTAACTATTTTGTTTTCTACTATTTCAGATAGTTATTGATAACCAAAAAAATATATGCTATGTCCATTCCGGATTTCTTGGCCACAATAACGATGCCTTCTGCTATCAGCAAATCCGGCAGATTGGTCCAGGACTGGAAAATGATTTCCCAGCACACTGTTTTATACTGGCTGACAGTATCTACCCAAATGCACCACCTCTTGTAACTCCTTGTAAGACATTTAGGGTAATTGGTGCGCTTTACAGACACCCGAGATGGGAAATGTCATCTATTGTTGAGCTGTGTGCTGCCCTGGTTAAGAGAAGAGCTGATTTGATTAAAGACGTTTACAGTTAATAAATATACTTGCTATTGAATATGTTTAGATACTGAAATAAATCTTAGTTTGTGTAATTAGAGGTTGTATCTGTTTGAATTGTTTTCTCAAAGTTCACAAATGGGTTGGTTTAGATTATAAACTTGTTCAATTAGTATTGTCCATTGACTTTAAAATTCCTATTATTGTTTAAAAAGATATACATCGTTCTACTGTTTAATTGTTCATAAATGTGTCAATAACAATACCTTAGAGGAAGCGGGGCATCTCAAAATTATCGAATAACTTATAAAAAGTTAGATTATAGAACAAAGAATGGAAACGAGGAATGTGTCCAAGAGACAACAACACAAATGGCTAATAAATAAGAAGATGTGGAAAGAGTGCTAATGAAACAACTCTCCAAGTCACAATGTATAAAAAGTTAACAATAATATGTCAAAATACGTCCTTCAACACGGAGCCTTAGCTCTCACCGAACAGCAAGCTATAAAGGGCCCCAAAATGACCATTGTATCACAATTCAAACAGGAAAACCAACGGTCTAATCTATTTAACAAAACGAGAAACATTTATCAAACATACCAACAAACGACAAGCACTGTTCCTGACTTAGATTCCTGACTTAGGACAGGTGCATATAATATATGCAGCGGATTTGAACGTTTTAACAGGCGCAAACCTTCACCCTAAACCTGATACAGCAGTATAACATTACAAACAGAAAAGACGCACTACACAATATTAATTGAAAATGGCTTTACTCTTAGACTATAAAAATAATGAATGTAATATGAAATCGTGAACCAGTGAAAGTTACTTTTCATATGTTGTAATGGCTCTTGCTCTTTCTGCATGAAAGAAAATAAACTTTCAGAAAGCAAAAAAATATAATAATTTTGCAGCCATCAGCTACATTTTCTTTTATCTGTTTTGACTCCTTATAATTATAAAATCTTGATTTATTTCCTTGCAAAAACTTCTAAGTTTGTTCGATTTCCCGTAGTATGTACTGCAACGCATTTAAAAAGATTGGAATTGATGACAGGGGACTCTACAAGGATCATGTAAAAGTTCCCTGAAATGATATATTTGGGAATCAGAGTGAGAAATGCTATAGACTTCAAATTTGACCCTATTTTTAACCAGAACTTAATCTTTTTCTCCTTTATCATGTTTATTTTATACTCAAATTTAAACAGATGATACAATTTGAAATCAACATTTTGTTCCAGCATAGGTTTTATCTCTTTGGCTAATATCGATATTGACACAGGTGGAATACTTCAAACTTAATCTATAACAAGTACCTCATCGTACGAAGTTGATAAATCTCAATTGATACGTGGCGCCGTTGCATGTTTACATTTTAAAAACTTCAAATAACAGGGTTGTGCTCCTTATACAAAAACTGTTACGAGGAAGAACCACTTTATGGACACCACGATATGTCTGTGTCCCAATTTACCAGCGACGCTCTTTTGAAGTGTTTAATCTTTAATTACAAGGATAGTCATCTAATGTCAATTTGTTACCGATTGTATCACTAAAGAGACATTTATTGTCGAAATACGGATCTGGTGCAGTAAAATTAGTACAGTTAATGTTGCTGTATCTTATTCCCGATTGTAACATTTTGACTGAGTATATATTTGCATAATTGGTGATAGAAAAATAAGGTATGGTATGATCGCCAGTGAGACAACTCTCCACAATAGACCAAAATGACACATAAATTAACAACTATATGTCATCGTACGGCCTTCAACAATGAGCAAAGCCCATACCGCATAGTCAGCTATAATGTACATAGCAGTAGACGTGTGTCTTTTCAACGCGGGCGATTTCGCTACTGTTGGAGTTCATTTGATTGCCTCAGTTTTTGTTTGTAACGTTTTTGTTTTGTTCTGGTAATCGCTTTTTGAGATTAGAAGATCATTAAACTATTCTTTTCTAAATTTACACATGAATTTTGAAGATACGTTTAAACAACAAATGCCATAATAATCACTATACAATAATGTATTACAAACATGTACGTCTATTTTATTAGTAGGGCCAGCTCCTAATGATAAAAATCTTAATATAAAAATTAGAACTGTTCAACATGCGGTATAATTGATACAAGAAAAAAAAAAACACGAGAAATTTTGAGATGGGCAAACAAATAAAAAAAAAGTAATAATCGAAAGAAAAGCATAGGTTTTTTAATTATAGAAGTGGACAGATTTTAAAAAACCTTAACTAGATATTAAGGATTTTCGAATACAAAATTGTAATGTGATTAAAATATGCCTCAACTTTATGTACTACTAGTTTGTAATGTATATCCTAAAATTAAATCAAGGACCTGTGCATGTTTAAGTCATGTGTCAAATTTTTAAAAATATTTTAAAATTCTTTTGTACACAAAAAACGTACGATTATATTATTACAGAAAAAAAATCTTGTATAGTATATATAATTAAAAATATAGCAAATTGTTGATTTTGAGTTCCTTTATATTACATAATTTACATGAAGTAAGTAATTAAGTTAATTTTATGTAGAGTCGGACATGATATGTACAACTGTACTAACAATTATGAAACATTCATCCTCACAGTTAGGAAACTTATAAAAGAGAGGCAAAAGATACAAGAGTGCCATTCAAACACATATAAGAAATCCTTTTTGAGTCTTGAGCACTTTACAATATTCTAAGTTTGTAAGAAAATGGTAATTCCTTTCTTCATGATAAATACTCGCTTACGCTCGTGCTTAATCATAAACAAAGAGATTCTCATTTTCTTTTATATACGTAGCTACAATGGATAAGTGCCGGATTGTTGAAAAGATACCACGAAATAAGAGGGTGGGTAGTATCTTTTTAATGATCCGACCCTTGTCCATTGTGTATATTATTTTTTTTACTACTTTTCAAAATTACAGTTCTTTCATTAGTTATGCCATTTTATCGGTGAGATCAAATAACTACCTAATACCTTTGAATGATTCACGACAAACAACAAATAATAAGAAGTTTGCAGGTATATATATATATACCTGCAAAAATATTTTCATGATATTATTGACTGGTTGTATATATGTTTATCAGAAATATTTTCACAAAAATATTTTAAAGACATTTTGTTTACATCAGAAATTAGGTGTGAATGATATTTTACTAATAACATTTCATCCCAATGTTTGATTGCAAATATAAAAACGTTTTTTGTAAATATTTTTTTATAATAAATAAATAAATATTTTTTGCTGATGTTTTTTAAACGTTTAAAAGACAGTTTTATAAATGAGAACAGTTTTATGTCGACGAAATATTTCTTTACAATATTAAAACAATATCTGATGGACATTTTTATATTATAATTATAATATATATTTGTAAGATGTGTAAAAGAAATGTTTATAAAACATTTTTGATTAGTATCTGCGTTAAGCATAGGTTTGATGTATAATAAAATATCTTTTTGATGTAACATCTAAATAATTTTCTTGTCCTAATTAAAAATATAAGCTGGTAATATCTAATGAATATTTAAATAACGTCTTAACAAAGTATTTTTTCGATTTTATTTAGAAAATATTAGTTGAAGACCCTTTTATAAACATTTTAACATAATATGTCTTCAAGATATTTGTAAGATGTATGACAGAAATATTTGTCAAATGTTTGTAAGTAATATTTGAGTGAAGCAAGTGTTTCATATGGAAAAGAAATATTTTTTAGATATCACATTAACATGCATGACTCCTCATTTTTATAGAAGCGCTTTAATAATTCCAAAGAGGTTATATGAGATAATCTCCTTGATAATTTTAACCTTTGAGGAACATTTCAATCGTGTATTATTATAACTTTTTTCGTTCAACTTTAATTGATGAAACATAATAAACAAATATATACATAGTGATATTTGATACAACCATTCTGTTAATCAAACACATTCTGATAAGGTTAACCAGATGTTGGACACATTTCAAAGATAGTTGCTATAATGGTAATTAAGATTATAGAAAATCTAAATGTAATGGGATGGTCATTTTTGAGGTTATTTCCTGTCGTCTATTTGTCACTTCCGAAAGCAGTGAAAACAAAGAAAACTAAAAGAGAAAATCACAGTTCAAAGAGAAAGAAACATGTAAGTTGTAATTTTAAAAAATCGTAATTGATACACGGACTCGACTGAATCTTGTTTTTTTGTCCTCGGCAAAACTTTGGCAAAACAAAATCTGTATTTGAATAGTTTGTAGGAGTAAAAATCACAAAAAGTTGAAGACGCTACTTCTTTAAATTATATGTATGCAGTGTTATAATTAAACATTAGGATATCATGGAAAAGTGAAAAAGATATATTTTAAACAAAATGAAATTGCATGTATATGTAAAAAAAGGGGGTAAAATGTGAAAAAAATATCATACGGAAAAAGACTATACAAATTTGCAGACATATTCGTGTATGAATTACTTGAAGTAGAGTTTCTTTTTAATATACAATTTTACATTCTCATATAAATTTATAGATCTGGTATTTGAGAACTACAGAAGACAAATTAAAGCAGAGTGCAAAAGGAATTTTAATAATCATTGATAATATTCTGGCTTCAAAATGCATGGAAATGGAGATGGGACAAAATGCATTCTACCATTTGATAGCCCAGAATGAATTACTTTAAGTAAGTAACATAATAGCCATCTTTTATGCTACATCGGATTTGAAATTCGCAGATATATATATTCATAAAATGTTTAATATTACTGTCAATGCTACGTGTCACTTTGATTTAGATTTGACTTTGTATTTTTCACTTGAATTCTTTATTTAGTTAGAACGTTTTTGACATAGTTCTGTTTCCTGAATCTATATCATAATCAATATAACGGCATACCTGTAATCTAATTATTATAATACAATTTTTTTCATAATGTTTGACTTGATATTGGCTTAAAAGCTTAAATCTCAATTGAGTTTAAACATTTATGTATTATTTCTTCTTCAGAAGGCTAACAAGAAGAGGAGGCTCGCAGTAGAAGATACAGACTCTGAATAATTAATAAAATGTTAAAATGCTATTCAGGAAAACTCAATATTCATTGACAGTCGTCCTGTGATATGAATAAGCTATTCTATCAATGCTTTTGTGTTGGCAGTATACAATGTCATGCTTTGACTGCTCTTAATTGTTTGAAAGAGTTTGAAAAATATCAAACAAAAATTCAAATTTCCACAAGTCGGAGAAAAACAATCGCATTGCAAAACAAAATAAAAAAATAAACAGTCTACATTACACTACATATAATGATAGAACAAGAAACAGGTGCCCTGGAGGAGAGCTGATAAATTTTAGTCTAAATATGCATGATATATTTGCAAGCTGAGAGTTGGCCTGGCCATAAAACGTTTTTTGAATATTTATATAATGTTTTTTACAAACATTTAACCAAGATGTTTTAAGAATATTGGGAAGACATCCATAAAACATTGTTGAAATATTTAATTAACATTTTCAAGAGATATTTCTACCTAAACTTGCCTCTGATATTTTAAAAACATTTGGTAGACATCCATAAAACATATTTTAGACATGAAAAGGAAATTTTTGGATAACGTTTGATATATATGTTGTCTGGATATTTTCAATTGACACTGAATGATATCAAAATTATGTTATTTAAATATAAAATCACAATATTTATAAAAAATGTTCTTTAAACATTCAGAACAAATATCAGCTGAAAATATGCTATTCACATTAGTACAGCCATACATTTCACGTCAAAACAATATTTCTGAATGATATTTTTGTGACATTTTGCAATATATTTTAAAAATATCAATAAAATGTTTTTGTGCTACCTGGGTATAGTAGATTTAAATCATGAAATATTTTTTAAAAGCAAAATCACATGACTTTTCAGTATACTGTATTGAAATTTCAATTGAACTATTATGAACCTGAATATTATGTGTAACTTACAAAACTTTGAATTTTTAAAATACTTTTCTACCTCAGGAATAGATTAACTTAGCTGTATTTGCCAAAACTTTTAGGAATTTTGGGTCCTCAATGCTCTTCAACCTCGTACTCTATTTGACCTTTTTAACCCTTTTTTTTTATACGAGCGTCACTGATGAGTCTTTTGTAGACGAAACGCGCGTCTGGCGCAAATACAAAATTTCAATCCTGGTACCTATGATGAGTTTATTTACAAAACGAGACATATTCGAACTAATTGCATAGTATATATATAATACGCCTGTTACTAAATTTCTAGTTAGAAACATAATTCTAGGTACATGACGATTTACTCTCAAAGTGATATTTAAACAGATGAAAAGACTGGCGATATACATTGATATGTTATAACCTAAAATCATAAGACTTTAATATTGTTTAGCGTTGCTTCAATTCCAATGTTATATGTTAAATGTTATATCATTCATGATTCATGTCATAAATGAGCGTAATGGCAACCAAAAGGTTTATAAGTATAACCCTGTTGCCTGTTGTCATGAAATTGAATTCATACCCAGCGAAATAGTTCTGTATATGTTCATTAAATACTTGATTTGGGCATACAATATGTATCAGTGCATTTAATTTAAATTGTAAGTAATAGAGATACCAGGCTGATGATGGTGTATGCTAGACGAGCCTTTTGTCCACAATAGACATGATGTTTATGGATTTATAAAGTATCAACAAAATAAACTATCAAAATAATTTAAAGTAGCATCAATATTAAAGTAGATATGACAGGGAAATAGTCTTTACCTTAGACACAGACGAAGAGCAGAGCGAAAGTGCAATAACGAACTACGATTTCGCCATATATATATATATATATATATAAAGATGTAAAACTTAAATCCTTTTCCCTGTATCTGTCAATAAAAAATTTTGTTTTAACACTAGCAAGTTGTGATATGATTGCAAATATTCAACTCTCCATCAGAGACCAAATGACGTAGAAGTTAACAGCTATAAGTCACCGTACGGTCTTCAATAATGAGCAAAACCCATACCACAGAGTTAATTTCAAAGGGTCCCGAATTGACAAATGTAAAACGTTCAAATAAGCTAAAAACTAACAGCTTGATTTATGTACAAAATAATGAACGGAAAACAAATATAATAAACAGTAAAAAAACGACAACCTCTGAATTACAGGCTCCTGTTCACATTTGCCGAAATCCAGTTTGCTCATACTGAGAAGCAGTTTTAGCACACGACCAATCTACTGTTATATATTGAATGGCTTTCTTTATATTATTGCTGGAATATTTCATTCTGTTATAGCTCTTTTAACGACGATAAATGATCAGGACAGTTGTCTCGAAATGTTTTAAAATAATGTGTATATTTTTATTCTGTTTAGAAAAAAAAATCCACACCTATGTAACTGAAAAATTGTCAAAACTGAAACATGCAACTAATTTGTAGAGAATTATGCTAAGTTATCGTAAAAGTTTGATTAGGACGCTTTGAAAGACGGATTAAGGTTAATTACAAATTTACAATTTAAACATGTTTAAATATGGTAGCAAATTGTCACTTCAATGAAACAGGCGGAGTCATGAAAAGATAAAGAGAGGAAATAAACCCGAAACAGTCTCATATTTTTTGTTTCGTTCCGCTAATTTTTTTTTTACGTTTTCGGTTGTTTTGTAATAACACCACCTTTTCAAAGGTTAATAAAATTTCGATTGTTTTCTATTTTAATTTGTCATCTACTTTATTTCCCGTTGTAACTATTCCTTGCTTCAAAGTCACTATAAATACCTCATTCAATGGCCAATGTACAACACATTGGATCAAGGGATACCATGGTAACTTTAATACGTCTAAAGTGCAATATCATTCAGAACTTATTAAGACAATAATACATAAAGAAAAGGAAAAGAAAGGCAAAAGGTAAGAAGTAATGAATAACAAATTTCATGAAAAAAAATGTTGTTCTAGTCTAAACTTGTCCATTTTTTCATGAAATATATATCTTCACAAAGAAGAAACAAAAAACAAAATATCTAAAGAGCCTCACCTAAATCTAAACCCAATATCAACAATGGCCGAAGGAAAATTCTATAAAAACAATAAAGCAATCCTTCTAACTGGATTTTCTCCCAGGCATAGATGAACTAAGCAAGATTTTGGTACGTATTTTTTAACAATTGGTTTTCAAAGTTCTTCAACTTGGAATTTGATTTTATCTACCAACTGTTTTGATTCGAGCGTCACTGACGAGTCTTTCAATATATGTAGACGAAACGCATACCAAGTTATAAGCCTGATCTCTTTAAATGTTCAATACATAGTATTATCAACGGGTCGCACACATGTTTGGTCGATCCAAATATGTGTATATTGATGTTGATTCCGTACAGTAAATGCATTTACGAATCTTTTATAGATTTGCTAGAAATGAAAAAAAAAAAAAAAATAAATCCTCTCGTCAATATTAAGTGAAAAAATGAAAACTTGATTGCTATTTCGCCAGAATTGTTTTTTGACTTTGCGCTAGTTTTTAGATATTACAATATGGATAAAATATAAGGAATACGTATGGTGTAAAGCAACCAGTTCAGGATTCTTTCATTTGGACAAGCACATGAAAATATGGCAGAGTAAAAAAAACTAGTAGGTTTTTAAATGTAAACCCTCATCCTGTTAAATCTCGATAAGTTGACTATCAAAGAGTGAACACAAATATAGAATAAAATGAGTACAGCAAAAAAATAAAAACACATCAATGATACCAAGGCTTATACTTTTGTATACCAGACTCGCGGTACGTCAACATATTAAGACTCATCAGAAACGCCCGAATAAAACTAGTTGGACGGTCAAATCTTATCCGAAGTTGAAGGGCATTTAATTTTTTAAAAAATCAGGTCTGAACAAGTATTTTGTTGGATGTAGGTATAATCTAAATCAACTTCAAGTAGAATATTTTTTGCATAGGTAAACCAGGAGTATACTCCTTCGGTGTCTACGATTTTACTTAGCATGTAACCTTCTTTCAAAAGATTATCTAATTTAAAACATTCTAATCACTTATTATATAATAGAGTTTGTGATTAAATATTAGATTCTATAGGAAGTCTCCCCAGTTCAGCTGTAGTTGCAAGATAAGATGCATTCTTTCTAGTTCCAAGTAAAAATTTTAAAAATCCGAATGTAGTTTTACAGCAAAAACTTTAAATTTCTACTTCTTTTCCAGAATTTAAAGCTCCATTTGTTTGCTCTATAAAGAGATAAATATGTGGCTAAATAGGTCACTTCAAAGTTGTATATCATGATTGGTTTTATAAGTGAATCAGAGGTGTCATGCCTTTTTGACTGGTAAATTATTCAAATAATTAGTATAAGCTATCAAACCAAATAAATCTTTTTTTCCCTTTTTACTAGTTCTGTAGTGCTATTAATGATAGTACATAAAATATCTGTAATTACTGAAGTCTGGTATATATGGGTGACAGAAGACCTAATGCTAAATTCATCGAATTTTAACGTGCTGTCTATCTTGCAGTATCAAAATGCCATAATTCCATATCTCAACGATGTTGAAACATTTATCATGTTTATGAGAATAAAAATCAAGGTATTTCCTCATTCAGTACTTTTAGATGAAAAGACTTATTGTTATATTGATTAGGGATTAATCATAACTTATTTTGTGGACTTACAACCTGTAAGTGATGACAATGTCCACAGAGAAAAATGAGTCGTTGAAGTTTTATAAATATCTTTGCCAAAAGATTGGATCTGAGAAGGCCATGAAAATGAGGAGGTTGTTTACAACTATTAACAACCTGGGAGATTAAAATGGCAAAAACGTAATTACTTGTGGAAGTATAGGCGAAAGACTAATGTGATTTGAACGCTATGACGATTGATCCTTTCTTTAAAATTAATGAATCAGAAACAGAAGCTGGTTTTGAAGGAAACAATATTCCCTTAATTATGAATACCGAAGTGAAACAACATTGTTTTGCTCACTTATGCCTTCCAAAACATTCAAATGTTGTCCATGATAGCAGAGATCTGTGGCAAAAAAATCATCTGGGAATT